ACTAAATTCTTATATAATAAGATTATTACTTTTTATTAAGGCTTATAAGTATACTAATATATAATCTCGGATTCTCCTAATAATCTCGGCTAGCTTATTAATAAGCTCTAATTATCTATTACTATCTATAAGAAGAAGTAATAAATTACTATTAAAACCTATTTTACTTATTAATAATACTATTTTCAAAACTCTCTAAACTATTATTTGTTCGGAAATTATTAATACGGATCTAGCTATAACTTCGGAACTCGTAATAACTATTTCAAGTCCTATAATTATAATAATTATATTCCGAAATCGTATTTTATATATAAGAGACCTAAATACTACTTATAGAAATATATACCGGAAGAATAAGAGACTAAGAAGGCTTAATTTAAGAATAGAAATATTTACTAATTTAGATCCCGAAATACTTATAACTTTAATAAATACTTTAGTAGTACTTATATATAGTATATTACCGAATTCGAAAGAGAAAAGAATAATAAAAATAGTAAAGATAAACTAGTAAGTAATATTTTTAAAGTCTTACTAGTAGAAATAAATAAAAGAGAGAAATATTACTCTAATTCCTATTTTACTTTTATTAAGAGCTTTCTAGCCGCTTTTATAGCCCCTGCTCCTATTATCTCTATAACTAATACTCTTATAAATAACCTTATTTCTCTTTCCCTTATATACCAGATAATAGGCGAAAACTATACCTTAGAGCCTATTAAATAAATAAAAGATATTTAGATATTTATAGTTAATAGTATATTAAGATATAATACTTACTATTTTTATAAAGTTATAATTAATACCAGAGCCTTTAGATTCTTAATTACTAGTTCTAACTAATTCCAAGCTTTATAGTAGACTAATAATAGTATTAAACTTAATAAAACTACTAAAAGTCAAATTAATATCTAGTTCAGTATTAGATTTATATTCTTTATTAGATCTATAATAGTAAGAATATTAATTAAATAAGTATAATTCCATATTATACCTATAAAGACTTTATTCTTATTTAGCTTAGCTAATATAGACAAGCTAGGAATCTACTTTAATAATTTTATTAATTATTTTATTACTTTTACTAGATATTTTATATTTATAGTATAATGTTTTAGATACTCTTTCTTGCTTTGAAATACTACTTTATAAAGCTTTATTTCTGAATTCTTTACTTATAATTCCTGCTTTCTTATAAAAATCGAATTATAATATCTATATTACTATTTTAGTTATTTATCTATTAGTAAGCTCCGAAATATACTAAAATAAATAGGCTATAATATTAATATAGAAGCCCTGGAATACCTTATAAAATACTATAAATAATACCAGAAATTCGGAGAATTACCGGAATAATTCAAGTTTAACTTAAGAAATAATATTAGCTTTAATTACTTTATTATTATTAATATTTTTTATATTTCTAGTAAGTCTATATTCTATATTATTAATAAAGGCACTCGATATTAAGCTAGCTAATAGCTTTAAAATATTAGTATACTATATACTTGAAATACTCTAAAGTAGTATTAGATTAATATCTATTTAGGCCCTCCTAATTAAATTATAGCAGATACCAGAAAGTAGTTTACTAATAAAGAATTTACTTAGCTTATAAATACTATAGGAATTAAGGTTAAAATCGTTTCTATAGAAGCTTATAATTCTATCGGAATTATAGAATACTATTATAGCCCGATTTAATATACTTATCTTATTATTATAGCCAAAATTAATAAAATTAATAAGAATACTATACTTTAAATAGCTTTTAAGGCTATTAATAATTCTACTAGATCTAATAGTATTATCTTAATTTTCTTGGTTTATAGTACTTTATTTTAAATAACTAAATATAATACCCTATTACTAACTATATTATAGTAATTAGTAGTACTTAAGAAGGTAATAGTAGAAATTCAAAAGCTTTAAACTAGATATTAGATTACGAATATCCTAAATACCCGAAATAGTTCTAGTATTACTAATATCTATAAACTTCCCTTGAATTCGGATATTCTTATATAATATAAAGGAAATACTAATTAACCTAGTAGTTAGAATAGGCTATATAAATTAGTAGCTATTAATAGAAAGAACTATATACTAGCTCTATTATATAGTAATATTACCTTTTACTTAACCTCTATAAAGCCCTTTTATATAGGGAATATTAAGGTTATTACTAATAGCTTTAAACCTGAACCTGTTTCCGAATTCTATAATAAGGCTAAAGATAATACAGGTATAATTCCTCTTACTATTTCTACTATTTTACTAAAGTATAAAAGAGGATACTCTTATAAGAATCCGGATATTATAGTATTCCTATAAGATAATAACCTATATAAGAACTCCCGTTAAGTTAAAGTTACTAGCCTTCTAAAAAAGAATATATTTAAAATTACTTCCAGATCTCAGATACTAAAAGAAATATATATTTTTAATTCCCGGTTTATTAATAAGATTAAGAATAAGAATATAGAGAGAGAGTTTAAAAAGTCGAAATTAGTTATCTAGGCTTATAATAATAGTAAGAAATATATAGTATTAATATAATTACCTATTATTTAATATATTAGCTAGAGAATTATTTTTAGTATTATTACTATAATAATAGATACTATAGAGCTATATTTATATAATATCTCGCAAGCTTATATCTAATTAATAACCTTACTCAATTATAATTTTTATATTAACTTACCTTATAAGCTTACTAGAAAACTAAATATAAATAATAATTCGGTTCTAAAGGTTATAAAACTATTATATAATATACCGGAAGCTGGGAACTACTAGTTTAAAACTTATTATTCCTACTATATTAATAAGCTTTTTATAGAATAGTTAACTTATAATCCTTACTTCTTTTATAGCAAGTAACTCTTCGGAATTATTGGCCTTTAAACTAATAATACCCTGTTTATTAGAACTAATAATTTTGCAAAAACAGAGTAACTAAAGTTCTATAAGGCTAAATTCTTGGCTAAGAAGTATAAATGCCTTATTATTAACTATAATCTCAAGTTTAATAAAGGTATTATTTATATGAATATTACTGGAATTACTCTTATATAGGAATACTAATATAAAAACCTCTAAACCGTTTCTATAAAGAATACTATTACTATAAGTAGTAGAAATACTATTCGTTAAGATCTCTTTATTAAGAACTAATATATTACCTAATATATTAGAGGAATATATATTATATTAGTCTATTAACCAAAAGCTTTATATACTCTATTAATTATTACTTAAGCTATTAAACTCTCGGAAACTAATATAAAGATATTTAATAAATATATTTAATAGCAAATTAAGAATATTACTAGAGAACTAAGATTCGTAAAGCTAGTAAAGAAATCCTTATATTTAATTGTTTTTATAAATACTTCATTTATAAATAATAGAAATCTCTTTTCCCAAATCGGATATATTCTAGTTCTAGTAAATAGAACTGGATATACTAATATTATCTACTAGTTCTCTACTAAATATAAAAGAGTTACTAGAAGTATTCTAGCTTCGGAATTCTATAGTATGGCTTACGGCTTTAATATAAATACTTTAGTTAAATCTATAATTAATAGAATACTAGAAATAGAATTACTACTAGTAATTTATACGAATTCGAAATTATTATATAAATGCCTTATTAAATTGGGAACTACTTGAGAAAAGTATCTAATAATTAATATAATATATCTTTACTAGGTATATAAATAATAAGAGATTATAGAAGTTAAATAGATTAAGAGAAAATCGAATTCTGTCGATTCCATAATAAAATCAAAGCAAATAAATGCCTTTAAATACCTAATTAATACAAATACTATATAATTAGATATAGAGGAATAGGTTAAATATAGATAGGGCAGGAAATAGATATATAGGATAAGAAAATATTATAAAAAGAGAAGTTATATATAAAAGACTATAGCCTTTAGTATATAACCAAAACCTCAGAAGTAATATAAATATATAGAGTATTTGGGAAATCTAGTACTAGGCCGGATTAGGGAATTTATATATAATTAAAAAGAAATACTATTTTTTGCGTTTTTTTAGAGAGTTTCTAGTATTAGTATAACTATTTCTTTAGAAGTTATATATATAGTTATAGGATATAGGATACGGAATATAGGTAATAGGATATAGGTAATAGGATATGAGATACGGGATATAGTTATATAACCTCGTATCCTATTAGTAACTTAACTAGTAGACTAGACCTCTTTAGGCTTAGCAGATTTAGGAATTATATAATAATACTATAATACTATAATTCTTACTTCTAAATAATAATAATAACTTTACTAACTAATATAACTAGTATTTCCACGCCTATATAATAGTATTATATATTACTAGTAAACCGATAAATAATAATAATAATTACTATTTATAAAATAGAAGCTTTAAATAATATAATAGTAGGAATAGAGTAATAAAATAAGACTTTAAGATTAATAATTTCCTATATTTTGAGAATTTAAAGCTAAGGAGAAAAGGAGTGAGGTGTGGCAGTAGATAAGTAGATATGGCCAAGACTACTAAAATACCGAGCTTTAGAAGCGAGCTTAATTAGAACTATAGCTTGGAACCTTAGCTAAAACTAACTTCTTTAACTAAAACCAATTATATAATACTAGTTATTATATAAAATATAGGCTTATATTCGTATTTATTATATTAGATAAAAGAACCCACTTTCTAGGTTCTATTACTTAATTAATTATAGTAATAAGATTAAAAAAGCGATTTTAAAAAGATAAAGAAATAAAAAAGAGATTACTAGAACTTCTTTAAATAAAGAAGAGACCGAGCAAATATAGAATAACTTAGTATAAGAACTATAAAGAGTTTAATTTATACTTTAATATTAATAATTAAAGTTTTTATTTATATAAAAAATATTATTTTATATATATATAATTTATTTATTTATAAATTTAAAAAGATATAATAAATATTATTTATAAAAAAAACTCCTACAAATTAGAATCTCTTATAAACTTGCTAAGAACTTTGCGCCTTATAAAAGTATTTATGTCTTAGTATTCTTAAGTAAAGCAAAGAAGCTCGCTCGCCGACTAAGTCTTCTCCCGGTACCCTCGCTTCCCGTTTGGCTCCCACTGCCTCTTCCTCTAGCGCTGGCTGATGTATCACTTACTAAATCGACATCACTCCGCCTCGCTAATCGGTTCCTGCCATCTGCCCCAACGCGAGAACTTGGTGTCGTCCGGGTATTCCCCTGGCTGGCCAGCAATGGTGGAGGCTGTGGCGTGGTCTGGACCGGTCGGCGCTGATTTGCGAGATGACTGGCAAGTGTAGATGTGGTGGAAATTGAGCTAGTGGAGACTCCAGAAACAGAATTGCGAGAACGATTGCTTGGTGGGTTGCTGAAAGGGTTCATGCTAGGGACGATGGGGATGGGTGATGGCGAGTGGACAGTTGAGCGGCTGGCGGTGCTTGCTGAGCTGGATGGGAAAGAAGATGATGAAAGAGAGGACACATCATCACTGATAATGTCAACGCGATGGAGCGCTCGCGAACGGCTGGCAAAGCGGCGTACCTTATTATACAGAATTAGTGTGAGAGGAACAGGAAATGTGAGGAACCAAGGGCGCGCTAACATAATTTTCTACCTCTCGTCTGCCTTCCAGCTCATCTGACCAGAAACGGAGCGCGGACAGGGGATCAACTGCATCTCGTGCCTATGCTGATGTCAATTACTGAACATGAATGACAAATTGAAGCAGTACCTCGAGAGACATGAGAATGCCATATAACTGCTGCAGGACTTGATATATACGTGTTGCAGGAGTCCATTCCCGATCGAAAATCGGGTGACATACTCGGCCGTGCTATGCAATGGTTAGCGTCAACGGTTTGCACACTACTTGTTGAGTGCTTACCTTCGTTATATTGGGATGCAACATTGGAGTAATGAACCGGGCCGAAGGAGGCTGTCTCGGGAACTCAGATCCCATCTCAATGTATAACAGAAAGGTTCCATTTGCGTAAGGAGAATCTGGTGGACCTTGCATGACCACTTTCCAGAAGCTCATGTTATTCTGACTAACATAGACGTCCATGAAGTCGTGTGGATTATCAATCATGGCTTTGATTTCACCCAACAAAATGCGAGACATACCTCCCGCACCGATGGTGATTGTGGAAGCCACACTAAGTCTCGTGGACCTCGAGTGGACAGAAGAAGAGCTACTGGCTGACCGCCTGGACATACGGTTCATGAAGCGTTCCGCATCACTCAGCGCAATAAAGTAGTCCTCGAGATTCGGATGGGGTCTACAAGGTGGGAAGTCGTACGGATTGGCCATGTCTGCTACTTTGGGCTGGAAGGTAGACCAGTCCGAGCATAAGACTTTGGTGATGTCTGGCCGGGTACGAATATCAACAACAGTCTCCAACAGAAAGATTTGGAAAAGAGCTTGTTGTGTGCAGGGGGAAAATGCGTATCCACCTGTGGCTCTTGCGATTTTGAAGAGATTGGATGTTTGATTAGACCCGATGACCACTGCATCTAGTACAATATCGTTGGCGTAAAGAGACGAAGATACCGTTGATGGCTGAATGGTGGATTCTCTATCTTCCCCGTCGGTGAGCAATATGATGCGAGCTTTTGTATTTGGGTACTGGCGCTTTACAGCAGCCAGCATCAAATGAGCTTTGTTCACAGCATCAAAAATCGCCGTTGACCCCCTTGCCTCGATGTTGTCCAGTTGATGATTAAAATTGAGGTGCAAGGCTGTGAGTGGCTGCTTAATCGTGACTAGGTGCTTGTTGGAAAAGGTTACCAGTCCCAAATGAGTGGAAAGATTGAGGGCCGAGATTCGAAGGGCGAGATTTTTGAAGAATTCCTTGACTTCAGTTAGTCGACTAGGGTTTAACCCGGAAGAGCTTCGGTCTGGAATCCAGCCATCTGGCATCGGGGTGGCCATGCTTGAGCTGGTATCAACGCAAATGACAATTGCCTCATCGGGAGCGCCGAAGTCTGCAGTCTTGGACCACTCAGGCCAAGCATCCAATTCCCAATTGCCTAACTTTTTGCGTTCGGCAAGTATGGGATCCAGCTTCTGCGACAAGAACTGGCCTGGATTGCCCGGTAGCTTTTCCCTCCCCTCAATCGGGTTCCACGTAACGAAGCTCCTCTCACTGCATTCCATGTCTTCGTGATCATACTTGGAGACATATCCTCTAGAGCTCAGGGTTATGACTGGAAGTTCGGCGGCTAAGCAAGCCCCAAGCTGCAATGGACCAACCATCCTGAAGGCATTCATTGAATTTGTAGTCTCTATTAGACTGTCAAACTCATTTGGATGGAGCATTGGGATAATTTTGTGGTCCCACAAGATATACCAATCGTCGATTGGTTGAAGGTAAAAGTCCCATGGCACAGAGGGGTTTTGGTGCAAAGCGATACCAAGTCGCTGACACAGTGCACTCCCTCCTCTTTCTATGCTCACCAAAAGCTTTCCTGTCCCTGGGTTGGATCCTGTTCGCACATTCAATTCATGAAAGGGCATAAATTGTGGCATGTATTGAACGTTATCTCGATATGATTGGATTTGTGCTCTGTGAATCATTGGCCTACTGCTACCTCGAGATAGAGATGCCTCAGAACGCATGGAATAGATCCAGAACACCACCTGGCGAGAGGCTTCAAGCAAATTGTCCGTGGAGCGATAAATTTTGGACGGAACCATTCTGTGGCACAGGGCATGGAATGCAGATGCCACCAGGAGAAGTGGACCGATAGGTGTCATATTACCAATGCCCGTTTCGTGAACAGACTGAAAAGCCAGAAGTAGAGGAGGAAAGTGTGTGAGTTCTAGAAGAACTTCTAGAACCTCATCCAAGGAGCAATGCCCGCGTTCGATTTCTTCGAGCAGCATCTGGATGCTGGTGATGAACGTGCTCATTCCTCTAGTAGTGGAATCAAAACTCCAGAGGCGTTTTGGATCGGTCGATAATGATAATTGGCTGAGAGATTCTCTGGACTCGGGTCCGGTAAGCTCGACAAAGACATCCAGAGGTTCATGCTCGTTTCCTATCGCGCCCATATCTTCCAGTGTTGCCAAATTGTTTTCGGCGTGCAATTTACACTCTCTCAAGAAAAGATTTAATTTCCGAGGGAGAATGCAGGAGCCTTGAGGAGTGGTACCACACAGTCGCTCAACTGCAATGCGATGAAATTCGGTCAAGGTAGTATCGCGTGCAATAGGGATGCTGTCAACAGGGATTTTCCGAAGTCGAGAGTTGTTTAACACAACTTCGAGAGTAATCCATCGTACATACACCAGGTCGTCTCTCTGGTGTCGCGATGAGATTCGATCGCGTAGCCCTAGTCTTCCAGAGCGTGGCTGTGGTAGCGTAGCACCCAGGTTTGTCGCTCTAAGTTCTCTGTCTGTGTCGACAGCAGTAGTTGTGGGGTTGTCTAGCGACCCGAGGGAAAAGGTGTTGTCTTCGGTAAGATCAAGAACCTCAATGAGGGAGTCTTCTCCAAATAGCACAACTGGATTTCTGCCAATCGTCTGAAGAAGAGAGTTGTCCAAGGTTGCGTTGACGCCGAGCCTCGCAGCCCTGTGCAATGCTTGAGCGTGAAGTCCGTGGACGGTTGAGCTTTGTGGAACAGGCACAACAATTTTCATCCCATTCACGAGTTGCACGAAAACTCGAGCGAGATCTGGATTTGATGAGGAGGAGGACGTATGAGTACCTGCACTTCCCTCGCTTGTTCCGGATACGGATCGCTGGTCTTGGTGGAGCTCCGCCATATTGCAAAGCTGATCGGTTTCCAAAGTCACAGTGACAATACAATGGAGGACTATGAAAGTCTGAACGAATATTGAGAGGTGACGAAGAGTGGTTTTCGGAGCCAGTGTCGTTCGCGTACTAAAGGTATCAAGCCGGGCAGCATCAACTCTTGGTCATGAGGTTGATCTGCTTCTCAAGAAACTCTGCATGATCCTTCACCGAAAGAAGAGCATTTCACTGGTTTGTGAAATTTGACGTGTTCTGCTTCGGTTGGCTCTTTCCTAGGGAGGCTGAGACCCGACTCGCCCTGCTGATATGAGCGGAATTTGCATACCGGGTGGCGCCCTCTCCAATCCGATGCATCATAAGCAGAGTTGGCGAGTGCAAGATAGGCTACCCCGAGTCCCTCGGGTCTCTCCAATATCGAAACGATCAAAGGCGTCGACTTTTGATGATGCTCGGAAGGAAAAGGCTTGCCAGCCCCTTCGATTTGCAGCTAAATTCTCCAACAACGAGAGTCTGGGGTCCGCTTGAAACCACGACCACATCGCTGTTACTTTGTTGAACCTGAAGCCTGTGCAGCTTACTCGGTGTTGCATGAGGCCCGCAGCAGGGCGATATGGCAAGGCAGTCTCCAGGTGGTGCCAAGATGTGGTCTTGAATCCTTCGATACGCCACCCCCCATCTAGTATGGCTTCTACGGTGCATGCCGTGGGATCTACGGCGAATAGGAGCATAAGGCAGAGTTAGCAAGACGTGCTTGGTGTCGAATTGTCCATTTCTTGTTGTTCTCCCGACGAGGCTAGAACGTGCTAAGTCTGGGCTCATTTTGTGCGCCGAAATAATTTGTCTTGGCAACACGTGATACGCTTCTTTTCACTCATGGCCTGTTCCTCTTTGAGATTTGTATTACTTGGGATAGATGATCTAAGTTACAAAGAGCGAGAGAAACGTTAATTGAAGGTCGAATAATAAAGTCCTAAAAATCACGTGCCCCGACTAAACTAGCAGTGCCATCCCAGGATAAAAGTATTCTTATCTCACAGACCATGGGGTTCATGTTCTTATTAGTTGAGCATTATTGCTGCCTTAGTATAAGAATAATCCACCCATTCCAAATAATGTACTAGGTGGAAAGCTGCAGATTAATTCCCTCAAGCTTCGAAGGCATGTGAAAAAAGCCTACTCTTTGAGACAGTACCGAACTGCGAAACATAAGGGTAATCTCTGATATATATTCCTAAATGAATACTATGTCTTTTTCTCTGCTGTTACTTGGAAAGAGAGATATTCCCGAAAATACCTGACCAAAGCACTTCGCATCCATTATTTCGGTTTTGTCAACACGTGCCTCTATGCGTTCTTTGTACTTTTTGATCGAAGGGATCTCATGGAATTCTTCAAACGTAACTCTTCACTCCGCGTTTCTCGCACGAAGAGCATCTTCGATATTTTCTCCTCGAATTCCCGTGGGGCGAAGATTGCTAGTTCGAAAAAAGCAACCCTCGGCATGGCCCTGCTGTCCCTGCGTTCTGATATCCGCCCAATCAGCAAGGCACTGCCAGCAGAACTCATGGTTACACTCCCCCTGCCCACCTGCAATAGTACTTATGTTTAGCGATGCTTAAGTGTATGGGGATGGAGGCTTACACGTCATATGAAAACAATCTGGTCCTTTTTGAATCGGGGTTTGACAGCGAGGACAAGGCTTCGTATTCGTCCGAATCCACTCTCGTGTCTCTGCAAAACTTGGATCACCGTGGTCTCTCTGGCTTTCGTATTCATCGCAGGTAAGTCCGCGGTGCCAAGGGATTTCGTGCTTGAAGCACATCTGGAAGCTACACTCTTCGCACGAAATCTTAGGGTTGACAGGATCTCGCTGGTATAGTTGACCATTTTCACAGAGTGGTGCGAGACACCATCGGAAACCTGGCTCGTTGGAGAGAAGGGTCTGTAAGAGAAACTTTTCATATCTAATGCCGTGTCAGAAAAACATTTGAGTGTCACAAAATCTTGAGTAATACTTAGCAAACGTTTCAGCGTCCGCAAGCTTGTGGATTTCTTGATAGTCGAGCTTCCTATTACATTGCGGGCAAGACAAGTTCTTACACGCAGATGCTCCGCCACTTACCAGTGAGCCACGGAGATATTCTGCTGTACAAGCTCTGCAGACTTCGAAATCGTGATCGCATTGTTGAATCTCACTTGTCGGAAAGACGAGGATATTCCACATCCATGCCCCCTCGAAGAGGGCGCACAAGCTCTTCCATGTTTCCACATCGCCATAATCGATATCGAATATGCTCTTGCAACAAACCATACATGATTTTGGTCTGCTTCGACGGCGGAGAAACTTTAGGAAGAGTGGTATTGGAGACGGCTTATTGTCCATGATGCAATTAAATATCGTTCCAGGTTTAAACTCTGGCATGCAGCCAGTCTCATCGACTAATGGCGGATCGAATCTAGGATCAAAGAGGCTGTACAATTTATTTACTGTCAACAGTTTTTCGTGTAGCTCTGCTGCTCTCTTGAGCCCGTCATGGCTGGGTTTGGGTTCAAGTGACCCTAAAGCTTCTCGAAAGGCGAGGGCCTTCACATATCTTGACCTTCAGATTAGAGATAGACATAGACACACCTAACAAGAGAAGAATACCTACATTTTGACATGCTGTTCAGCTTCAGTCCCGCAAATTTGCTCGAGACAAGTTTCTAAATCTGCTTCACAACGTATATTGAGAGGATTTTCGCAGCCATCTCGTGGACATGGGAACCACTGAGGCGTCCCAAGCTTGTACCACCATTTCGTTTCAAGGGTGGCGAGCAAATGGGTTTTGAAACAGTCCTTGCACACCTCTTCGTGGCAGCAGGAAAAGTATCGAGTTTTGCCGACATACTCATTAAGCCACTTCACTGAGTTGAAGTTGGGATTCGCATCGACCTTGAAGCTGAACTTAGCTTTGGAGCATGTTGTGCATACCGTGAGTCTGAGTCGCTGATAGAACCGATTGTATGAAGGGCCTTTTGGTAAAGTGCCAGCGAGCCTCTGAATCTCGGCAGGACTGCAGATTCCGTCGAACGAGTTCTGGGAGAGTCCTGATGGGAGCCAATTCTGAAATTGATCAGGTTGCTCGAGTGTTCCATCGTTTGGCTGTACATTCCAAGTTTGCTCGACAAGTCTTAGCGTCAACAAGGCTCGTAGAGTCTGCGGCTGGCAGACTTCGAGCTTTGCAGCCTCTCTCTGGAGCTCACTGATGACCGTTTTGAAACTGTCGTTCTCAGATTGCATTTCCACCACACGCTGATCCGAAGCCAACCGTGTTTCTTCTTCTGCTTTAAGTTTCAAAGCCATTTTACCATACTCTGTCTTTAATTCGGAGTAGTGGGCAAAAAAAGTTCGAAGGTCAGTCCCAGTATCTCTGCTAGCCACGGAAACTATATTTTCCAGGTCGGCGACTCGATTCTGCAACTTCTGATTGTGGCCACTGAGAATTTGTATAGTGTTCGATCGATTGGCTAGCTCTTGCATCTGCACATTGATAGTTTCTTCTGCAGCCTGCACTTGTATTCTGAACGTTCGTAAGTGATCTTCTAGAGTGCTAGTGTTTGTTAGCAATGCATCTACCTCGCGGCGAGATTGCGTGAGCTGGTCAGAAAATGTCCAGACTTGCGACTGAAGAAGATCTTTCTCTTCTTTCAAACCTTGAATTGTTTGTCGATAAGACTCAATAGTCTGATTCTGGTCATGAATTCTAGTCTCCTGAGCCTGATTTGTCTGCTGTAGGTCTGAATTGATAGATTGCAGCAGGTTATTGCCACCCATGCTTGGTGTCCTAAGATGGACCGAGTTCGAACGGCTTGCGTTTTCTTTCGTGCTGTCATCTACCAGGGACAGTTTGCTCTTGCTGAACTTATTCCAGGGAGCCATAGCGTTGGAATTTCGAGATGTAACGCTCGGCGCTTGCAAGTTAGCCCGATCCGATCACTGTTTCATTCAAGTAGACAAGAGCTTCAGCTTACCTTTTCAATTGTTATCCCCACGAGACTTAGAGCCCGAGTGTACTATCTTTCGACGGAGCTGGAGAGCAGCCTATCTGATGTTCAAAGATAGTTGCGTGTCGTTGAATGAAAATGGCGTTGTCCTTCTGGCGGCGTCTAGAGTCGTGCCACGGGTGAGACAAATGTCGCCCGTCGCCCGTCGTGGCTGATGTATCACTGCTCAGCCTGATTTATCAAGTCTGCAAGTCTTCTTCTGGACTAGTATCTTCCCTCCACAGGTATATGGAGATTTGACTTGCCTCGACTGGGTAAACCTGACTGGATTCCTGTGAAAAAGCGACCATAGATTGTTTTGTAGTCCGCTGTATGATACACAAATCAATCCTTGGAGACTCTCGGGAGAAGTTTGGAATGAACATAGTTCGGTTTTACTCGTCGCATCTGCATAACTTGTCTTGCATAAATCAGTGACTTGATTTGGGCTGCATGAAGCGGCTTGAACCCGAAACGGACTGTCGAGAATTACCAAGAGAAAAAGAAATTGGAAGAAGCCTCCTCGGCAAAGGAGCCCGCTGATTTGAGGACTGGGTGTTCAGCCAAAATGTGGGCGTGCGCTCTGTCTGAGGAATGATTGGGTTCTGAGATCTTCGTGTTACACAAGCCTCCCAGAGCCTTATGGTCTAGAAGGTCCACGATCCGCAAATTATATTTGCCTCAAGCTCAACCGTGAGCAAAACCACAGAGAACGAATTCATTTAGCCCTGTCCTAGTTGTCAGTATGCGCGACTACATCGAGAAACTGCTAGAGTATTTGTTTCATCGTGTCTTTCTTTTACTAGAGTGTTAAATGTTAGATCATTTTGGTAGGGTTGCAGACTCTATTTGAAGAATGATCTGCGGTGGAGAAACCCGATCCCGCCCAAGAGCCCAGAAACAATATCGAGAGCCATAGTTTTCAATACTCATCCAACGAATTATCCTAGACCTCTATCGCAGTAATGAACCGCTCGTAGAGCTCAACAGGTAACCCGCTCATAAGTTTACATCAACAAAGCCCCGATTCCCACCGCAAGTCCAAGGCAGACCAACTGTTCTACAACTCTAGAGGGGGCAGCATCTGATTTTCCAGTCGCGCTTGTCTGTGCAGGGGTGGTTCCACCGCTAGTTGAAGTTGGCGATGAAGTCGGAGGGATAGTTTTGTCAGTGACAGCAGTCAATGATGCGACGGAGGTTGAAGTTGCCCCGACCACTCCTGTAGCACCAGATAACTGCATTTCTGTTAGCCACTGCTTTCTGTGCCATATTCACTCATCCTCTCTTCAAATAAAAAAGAGACACACATACCAAGCTCGCACTCAAAGTCTGAACAACGTTGCTCCCACCCGCAACACAACTTCCAGTGTTTGTGCCAACCTGTCCAGGAAGACAACAGAAGTACCCCTGGCCGCTCTTTGCAGTTGTACTATTCCACAAACTCCAGGAGTCATCCGCACACTGCGGTGATGCGGCAATCAAGTCGCGGCAGATGGTGCCTGGAGCACAGCAGTGGTTTCCAGTCCCAGAGTTGATGCAGTCGGTGTTTGCCGGGCAGCACATGTCGTTATGACCGCATAGTTGGAAAGTCGGTGCGCATGAAGTTGCCCGGAGTGCCCAACCGCCGCCGGATACCGTGTTACGGGAAAACAAAATGGATGGCTCTATGGCGGAGACGGCGGGGAGTGAGATGGCGACGATTGCGAGAAGCATTGCAGGGTGCATATTAATGGTTTAATTTGGAAATTGATAAAGGGTGAAGATTTTGATGATAGTCGTGGTTTGATGTAAGATGGAAGCAAATATGTGGCAGGAGTTGTGCTTGGGGTTGACCTCAATGGTGGCACTATTTAAGTTGGAAAGGAGTCTTATATCTAAAGCGAGCCAAGATATTCTTTGCTCAAACTTCGTTCCTTCCTCAAAGGATTATTTTCGACGTAAGAAAAAACCATTTTGGCCCAGAACATAACCTGTTAAGTTACTTATCTTCGGCATTAAGTCACCCTTGCCTTGGCATCTGCACGTTACGTGCTAAAAACAGAAATGATAGGGCAGGAGCAAGATTTTGGGAATGGGAACTACCGCTAGGTACTAACTAGATCATGGCTTCTCTTGCTCTAGCAAGCACAAAGGAATTCCCTAGAGGCTGAGTGCTGTGTACTTGATTGATGCACTGCAGGTTGCCGGCGTCAAAAGAAAACGATAGGGCCAGACAGCCAATCTTGGCCTGGAAACTTCCGTCTCGTGCCAGCTGGCAACACTATCTTAAAAGGATACGATTTTTTGATCCTGCAAGAATCTGGTGTTCATTCAGGAGGCTGAGGCTGAGTTCCGCCTTCCAGGTATTTTAAGCGTGACGGCGTAGAGTTAAGTAATGCCAAGCCTTCGCAAGGCATTGTGATCCTATAGAAGTAACCCAGAGCCGGCTGTTCCTGACCGATACTTTGCATGCTTCTCCGTCTGTATATTTAATTGAAGGCGATTCAGTGCAAAAACAAGTGAGGTTCTCACTAGTACGCCCCCTGAAACTTTTACCTCAGCGCGCACCTTGCTTTCATTTACCAAGGCACTTGGAGAGTCAAACTTTTACGTCATACTGGTAATGACTAAATTATTACGAGCTCCAGAATGGCAGACAGAAATTATCTCTCGGCTTTTGTCACTTCAGCTTCAACTTTGTCAAGAGATGCCTTAGAGTCCTGCTCGCCGGCATCCTCCTTGTGCATTGCGCGCGGAGAACGAGAGGCTAGGAGAAGTGTCCTGCACAACTTCCTGGGATCACCGGAAATCCAAAAGCAACGACGGAGAATATATGGAACAGATAGGTCAGGCGAGCGTGCGAGAATTTGAGCTACCATATGAATTAGATTGCACCCCCTAAGCTTATGCTCAGGCCAGAGGCGGCCGACGTGAAGTTATATTTTGATCCTGACTCTAATAAGTTTATTTGCAATTTAGAGAAGGATATTATAAGGAGTATAATTTCCTTTAGCTAAATTAATAAGTATTCTTACTTTAATAAATTTAATTATAATAATAATAATCTTAATTTTATATATAAACTAATAATTCAATAATCTAAATTTTAATTAATTATAATAATAATAATAAGCCCATTTCTTTAATAAATAAATAATTCAGTAATTTATTTAGAATTATTTTTTAATAACTCGAGAACTTATAATTAAATAATTTCTAGTTATTAAGTTATTAAGAAAAGAAATAAAAAAGAAAAGAATTTTTTTTAATTTTTTAATTAATTATTAAAGTTTTATACATATATTATAATAATAATTATTAAGTATTAAAGTTTTATACTTATATTATAATAATAATTATTAATTAATAAAGTATATAAGTTATTAAAAGAAAGAAAAATATAAAGAGTTTTTTCTTAAAATTAAAAAAAAAGAATTTAAAGAATTTTTCTTTAAATTAAAATATTAAATTTATTAATATAATTATAACTTTTATTATTTATAATTATTAATATAGCTATTTTTTCGGGAATTATATATATAGTTACTGTCACGAAACCGGGCTCTGGGCTTGGAAAGCAGGTAGAGTGGCTCTTAATCCGAGGATTCTAAACTAAGGAGGGAAGCTCTGAGTACAGGAGCTTTGGTGTTCTAAATACTAGCCAGCCGCATGCGTCATCGCGTGGTCACGTGACGCTAAATTTACTAGTGAAGCGGCAGAGCGTAACAGTTACGAGACTCGAAATATGAGATATAAATAATAGGATATAGAATATGAAATATAGTTATATAATCTTATATTTTATATGTAATTTAACTAGTGAACTAGATCCTATTAGATTTAGTAGATTTAGGAATTATATATTAATACTATAATATTATAATTCTTATTTCTAAATAATAATAACTTTATTAACTTAATATAACTAGTATTTTTATATTTATATAATAATATTAATTAGTTTTTATATATAGATCAGAAAAGATTTTAGATTAGTTTTAAAAGTATTTAATAATATAAAATAAATCTAGTTTATTTTATATTAAAAAGAGAAACTATTTATTAATTTTATAAAAGTATTTAATAGATTATAAAAAAATACCTAGTTTTTGCTAATTAATAAATAATTTTTTATTTATTTAATTTCTATTATTATTTAAAATTAATTTCTTTTAATTTTATAATTTTATTTTTTTAAAAAAAAACTATTTTTTTTATTTATATAATACTTATATTTATAGAATTTTCTTTTCGAAATATATATTCTATATATATTTTTAAAGCTTTTTAATTACTACTTCGATTTTATTATTAAATCGAGTTCTTTAAACTTTAGATTTTCCCGGAATTATAATATTTTATTTCTTGAATTTCTTATTATAAATAAAATATTTAAAAGTAAAATATTTATTTTAATATTTTTAATAAATATCTAGATATCTAAATACCTTTATTACTAAATTCTTTTTATAAACTCATTATAAACTATATATATATATATATTAGAATAAATCTAAACTCGATTTAATATAAATACTAATAAAAAAAACTAATTAAGAAATAGAAAAATAGTATTAATTTAATAATTATAATAAAGAGTAATTTTTAGAAATATCTAACTATAAAGATATATTAGTATATCTTATATATAAAAAGTAATAATAATTTTAAAAACTTTAATACTATAGTATTTAAATAAATAAATTATATATTATTATAAAATCTTTAATTTTAAATTTAATATAATACTATATAAATAATATCCTATTTAGTTATTTTAATAGCTTTTATATAGCTTATTTTAATAATATTTTTATTTATTCTAATAATAAATTAAAATATAAACTTTATATAAAGAAAGTTTTTTAGTATTTTTAGAATATAGGCTTATAAATAAATATTAAAAAGTGCGAATTTTATATTATATATATGAAATATTTTAGTTTTATTATTTTTATAAATAGTATTAAAATTAATTCTAAGAAAATTTTTATTATAAAGAATTAGAAAACTTTTTAGATTATAAGAAAAATATAAGTCTTTTTAAAATTCTATAATTATAATAAAATTACTAAATCTCTATTAAATCTTATAAATATAGATATTTCCTTTTTATTTAATAAAGTTCATTTTATATTATTAGATTTATTTTACTATTATAATTCAGAATAATTATTAATAATTAAAACTAATATCTTAAATAATTTTATTACTAATATTCTTTTCTAATAATATAAAAACAAGTAATATCTTATAGTATTTATTATAGAAAAGAAATTATAATCTAAAACTATAATAAAACTAGTTTTCTTATATAATTCTTATAAGTTATATATAAAAGGCTCTAGTTTTTATTATATAACTAAAATAATTTTATTAAAATATAGCTTATTATATTATATTATAGAATATAATTATAAGATATATAATAAAGAAATATTTATTATTATATGATTTTTGAATTAATAATATTCGGAATTTTAAAGAATTATTTATTAAATTCAGATTTATATAAACTGTTATATATTAGAATACTTTATAATAATAAAGAAATCTATAAATAAATAAGCTAAATAAACTAAAATCTTAATTAAATATTATTTTATTATCTAATATAAATTTAGTAAAGAGAATATGAAAGCTAATATTCTAATATACTCAAATAATAATATTATATAATAAAATAAAATAAAAGAGAAATATTATACTAAAGTTTTTTTTTTCTAAAACTAAATTAGTCTAAATATATTTTAGGATTTTAGTATTAAAATTAATTTCTTTTTTTTTAGATAATAATAATTCTAATAAAATAAATAAATTTTATAAATAAATTATAAAGCTCTCTTTTTATAAGTGTTTTATAAATAGACTAAATAGAATAATACTAATTTTATTCTAGAAAATAAATTATTATTATATTATAAATAATTTATAATATCTAATAAATAAATATATTAAGAAATAAGATTTCTAATTATTTTATTTTTTACTAGTTTCGAATTATTTATAATAATATATTATAATAGATTTCAAATTAATATTTAAATTAAAATCCGGTAATAATATTATATATATTATAATTAATTAATTAAATAAATAAACTATTTTCAAATTTTATTATAAAATAATTATAATAAAAAATATAATAAAAATATAATTCTAAACTATTTATTATTATTATAGTTCTTTAGTCTCTATTATTTCCGATTATAATCTATAATTTATATTAGTATTCTAGAAGAAATTTAATAGAATTCTAGATATAAAACTAAAGCTATTAATAGTATATTATTTATAAACTAATAAAAAAACGAAAATTATAAATTAATATATTAATTAATAATTATATTTATATATTATATATTATGAAAATAACTAGAATAAGTATTTATTAATAATTAATTATATTTAACTTATTTTCCTATATAGTTTTATTAATATATTTCTATATAAACTTTTTAATAATAGACTTTTATAAACCTGTTTTAATTAGTTAATTCTAATAACTATATTTTAAAATAAGCTAAATAAAATAAAAGTTTAATAAATTATTAGATAAATAGAAAATATTATAAAAAGAAATAAAATATGAAATAAATATAAAAGAAAACAAAAGAATATACTAATATTAAATATTACTTTATTAATTTTAAAATAAGAAATAAAATATTTATATATTAATAAAAAAGTAAAAAATATAATATTCTAATTATAAGCTAGATTATTAAATAACTAGGCTTTATCTA